AAACTAGTGAGTGAAAAATCACCTGCTTGTTTCGGGGGAAAATAAGAAGCCGTGTGGAACATGTCGTCAGATGGAGACGCAGATCCCTCAGAGACTGCTGGCCTCATTTCTTATTTTCAAGAGGAAACTTATCTAATTATATATAAGTTAACTTTGTAGTGGTCGATTCAAGGGCAACACTGACTGGTATAAATGAACCGACTGGGTAGAATCAGGGCTACTGCTTGCTGTGCTCCTTAGGCCAGATGTTTGGTCCTCTGTTGACCACAAAACTGGAGATTTATGAGAGAAGAGTGTGGCTATGGGGAAACCAGGACAGCACACTTTGCATAACCCAAATATCCATGTTGAACTAAGTGTATATTTTTGTGGCAAAGCATGGACCCTAAATCAAGATGAAATGCACAAGTGAATTATTCATTTAGTAGACGGGTAAAACTGCTTTAATTCTCAATTGTTTTGATAATTTGGGAGTGTGAGAAACCTTAATTTTAACTCAGCCATATTCTTGATTAAGCGAATGTACTATATTTGACAAGTATAAATACAATGCAAATCTACTTTTAGAGAAATACTGAAACATATGTTGCATCTTCTCGAAAAAGAGCACGGTGCTTTTAATCAGTAGTTGTCTCTGCAAGGGGTGAATTTTCGAAACGTCTATCATTTTGGTGGCTGAGTGGATAGCACACTCGCTTCTCAGCAAGAAGGTCCTGGGTTCAAATCCTGGACGGAACAGGGCCTTTCTGAGTGGAGTTTGCATGTTCTCCCTGTGACTGCGTAGGTTTCCTCTGGGTGCTCCATTTTCCCCTACCACTAAAAACATGTACAATAGGTCAGGGAGTTCTACAAGATGACTGCATTATGCATCGATTCATTCAAGTTTGTCTTGTGTGTGTGTGTGCTCCAATCCCCACTATCTCTGACTTCTGTACGGCTTTAGAGCCAGACAGAAGGTGAGTGCTGAAGGGTTTTGTCCTCTCTTAAGTGGTGTCTCAATCAGTTGTGCCGGTCCTCAAGAAAAACATATGAAAAGCAAAGCAACAAGAAATTCGGAGGCACTTTGACCAAATGTCTTTTTTTAATCTTTGATGGTAGATGAGAGTTCATTATCCAAATAAGCTAGCAAACAATGCTAACAGCCAACATAGTTTCTTGTGTGTATTGTAAAACAGACTGATGAAAATACTGATTTGCATTTGGTGAAGCTGAAGCTGAAGAGTGATGATTGTTTATTGTCTCCACATGATCCAGGAATGTGGATTCTAAAAGCTCTAACGATAAGGGAATGTATAACTTCCAATGACTGATAAAAATCTGCAAAATTATCAAAATATAGTGAGACTTCAAAATGTAGCTGTTGCCTAAAAAGATGATTCCCAGTTACAAATGAGTTTGAATAGTTATTGTTTCAAATATTATCTACCTATCTATCTATCTGTATAAATACTTGCCTCATACTTGACATACTTCAATGTCCTCACTGTGGGACGATGGGATCTCTTACTCTTATTATACCTCTCTAACAGCATCCTTCACTCAAACAAGCAGGTAGATAAACAGATGGAGACAGACACTGCATCCTATTGTGTGTCCAATAGGAGCAGACATTAAGACAGAAGGACCTATCCCTTCTTGGTACAAAGCGCTCTCTCCTTTTCCAAGTGCAGCCCTGAGGCATGGCCCGGTCTACTACTCCAGCTCCCTTCCTCCTCCTGACACCATATGGACTGATCAGCCTTGGTTACTGCACTCTTCCCATAAACCTCTACCACTCAATCTCTTCTTCTTCATTCTTGCTCAATAGACATTGTATCTGAAGTCTGCGCTATCTAAGCTTGCTGCCTTGGGAGAATTCTTGGCATAGAGGGGTAATCCTTCTTAATGGAGTCCCCAGCCCTCCGATGGATTGGAGTCCGGGCTCCACACAGATCATATAAGGACATGTTTTATGGCTTTGTCAAAGAGAGATGAGAAGGCCATTGTTTTCAAGTGTTTAAAAAGCGTCACAATACACGACAAACTCATTGTTATGGGCACGTTGGAAAATCTATTATCTTAAATGTAGAAAGATTTTATGGTCATCCAAGTTAAGAGGAGAGAAGTCTTCTAACTCCAATCAAGTTATGACTGAAATATAAGTGAAAGTATATAATAGTGGTATTCAGTTTTCTCGTTCCCAGGGAGAAATGTTTCTATAGCAACAATCTTTTAGCCACAAAAATAAAATTAACTCACCTCACTAATTCCTTGCTCTCAAAACCGTTTGTCGTCCGTCACATATTTAGATCCGCATTTTCATCAAACAGAAATGTCAAAAGGAGAGGACTACCCTCCGGCCCAAAGCACCACAGAGTGACTCACAGGGCACGCAAAATGTTGTATGTTAATTAGATAAAGAGAGTGTGTTAGAGTCTGTTAGATCACAACATGTTTCTTTCTGTTTGTACACATTTTCTTTTATTATTTATTGAAAAACAAAAATGGTGACTGCCAGGTTAGCGACACATCTGCCCCTGTTATGGCGCAAATCTAAACACGTCGGAACAACTCAATGCCCACATGAGAAATTGTCACTAGCTTATGTTCAAATCGGCTTCTTCCACATTCTGCAAACACTTGGTCAGCCCTTCCCTATTCTACAGTCTGTGGTCTAGTCTTGAAATTATCCATCGAATAGACACAGTGTGAGGCTTTGATGCATTTTGTTGAAGCATTTATCAAATTAATTGGGCTAAAATGTGTCCTCAATGACTTGTTATGTGTTAATTATACCTTTTTTCATGTATTGTGTTATGTTTTTTAAAGCGCTGCCCTTCTGACCAGTCTGGGTTGCTATCACGCTTGCTTTGGTCATTACATCACAATTATAGAGCTGTTAGTACCGAAGAAAAAAGTGATGAACAAATGGAAGTGGAAAAAGGCGACAGATGAAATGTAGGTCAGTGGAGATGTGCTGTGGGCAGTATACTCTCTCTCCAACTCTGCCTAAACCTCGCTCTCTCCCGCTCTCTGGGCTAAAGCTAAAGAGGCTAAAGAGACCTGGGGTGAAAGTGCCTTTTAGCTACACCTGCCTGTGTTTTATACGGGCCAGAACCTCCCGCAAGTGCCCGCCTCGCCAACTCCACAAACTTTTTACTATTTCAACTCTTTCTTTTTTCCTCTACATCAGGCTGCTCTACATGAAATAATGTATATACAGTATAATGTATAGATCGCATATATTTGACTGTCTAAGGCGCTAGAGTATATTCAGAAATGTGATAGTGGAACCCTGGAGAGAGATAGGGAACAGCTAAAACAGAGAACACAAATAAAATGAGTATGATTATTATAAATATGACTTATGAAGTGCTTTTAATGACACATAAAAACATATTTATAATTTGCTCTAAAAAAGTGTGAAAAAACCTACGAAAAGTAATGGCGTAGGGTAGCCTTGGTGCCTAAAGGGTTAAGGGCCTTGATTATCGTCGTTTTTCCTTCCAGTTGATTCACTCTGAAGTTGTATTTATTTGGGGATGTTTGTGCATTCACCCTTTGCAAGTTGGCATTGCCCATTTTCATCACAAATCACTTTGTTAAAAGGGTCTGCAATATATGGAGGATTCAGCAGTATGTGTGTGGTGAACTGCTGCTTTGCCGGCACTTTGTACTGTATTTCAGTAAAGAAAGAAACTCAAATCAAAAGTTATCATTATTGAAGTCAGTCAGTTGACTTATTCCTAATCAATATTGAGATCTACACTTCTATATCTTTTTATACTATAAATTCATAATTTTATCACCCAAAATCACAATAGCAGGGCATCACAGAATTGTGGAAGAATCAAGAATCAAGAACACATACGAAATACAACATTAAACACAGTGATGCATGGACAGTTATGAACATTCATAGACATTGGTCATCCCATAACGGACCAATTGCTCATATGTGTTTCAAATATGTTAGCCTGGTGCACCACACCATAGTACAAATTACATGCAGGGAAATGATTATTGAGTGAAGTGTACGGATGGCTAAGGCCAGACTACAAATATGTTATTGTCAAATCAACAATATTGTAAGGTCCTCTAAAATTACTGCTGTCATGAATAAGGGATAAAAGAAAATTAAATTTACTAAAAGTAATTTGTCAATAACCAAAATGATTGTCCATCAATGTCCCAGTGTAAGAAACGTCATAGATTGAATTAGAGCAAAGCACATTATCCACTGACTTCAGGACCATTACAACCTCTTTGTTAATCTTTCAAAGGTTGTACCTCAAAAGGTCAGAAGGTGTTCAACTTTGGTCCAACAAAACCACTGTTGTGCTGTTGTAATGTCTCTGGGGTGTTGCATCGTCATAAACGTGTGTGCATTGGCCCACATAACGCTGAAGGATGACATACTGAACTGACAGACTTAAGTCACTCGTAAAATATGTAAGCAAAATATATTCATACTTCTTCCAATGTCATAGTTCTTCTCCCATCTACTGAGTCCAAAAATGCCATTGATCGGACCATTCCTATTTAGTGTAAGAGATTACGGTTAGAATCTGTGATACATGATTAAAGATGATTTAGAAACATTACACAAGCTTTTTGACTCCAAAGAAAATAAAATAACCACTGCTCAGAAGTATAATATTTAACTCCATGAGTTGCTCGTTCAGGTGACCATGTTACAGTGCTGATTATAAGAAAGACATGTAGAGAAGATTATAAACACAGACAAAAGCAGAATATTTTCCATCCAGGAGATGTTTTTGTTTGTATGAAGATGTTATTTGTATGTTGCAAATTAAGACATCAGTCTAAAAACAAATCCTGCATCAGTCTATAATCAACTCTTTGTTGCAAACCCAGAGGCAATATTTGCATATACAGTAACAACACCAACCAATGCACAAGAATATACCTCCCAATGAAAGGCTCAAATGTGGAATAGCAAACTTCCAACAGTCGCACAGTTGGATGAGCACATTATTGTGATAACAATGCTCTTCACGATGCTACAGCTGCGGCAGGAGAAAGATGCACTCTGTCTATCGGGGCATCAGTGCGGATGCCGGCCCTCTGTGATCGGCACGGTAATGTGGAGCTATTCTTTCATTTTCCAGGTCAGTATTTGAGTGTTTCTCAGAGGAAGGACCCCACCCTGAAAGTCACCCTCGCGACACCTGAGACGCGCTGTCACCAGACCCAGGCTCTCACACATTAGATCTACTGTATGTATACCCTCCATAGGACTCCTCTGACCCCAGCATCTTTGTATTAAACACAAACAAACTCTTATGCAACGCACTGTGATTTGGAATGTCTTTTGTTAAAGAAACAAACAGGAGTTAATGGATAGTAATGGGATCGTTTGATTTATTGCCTAATGATTCAGTGTCAAGTTTTGGAGATCAGAGTTGAAGTTAGTTCAAACTGAACCATGTTCCTGGGTTCAAAATCAGTAACAATGCAGTGTATATAAAGTTACATTTATTCAATAGATTTGTTGATGCTTCAGATTTTAAAAAACTTTCTGGAGGTGGAGCTGTTTCCAACCTCCTGAACAAGACGCTCATGATGCAAACTGGCATCATCAAGATGTTATTAAAGCATTTTATTTATTTACTGTAAAAGGGTATATTACTACTCTTGCATAACTACTCTCCCATTATTTCACATTCATTTGAGAAAAAGACAATGACAGAATAATGAAATACAACTTGTAATTTGACATTACAGTAACAAAAAGTACCTACTAGTTTAAATGATTTGAATATTGTACAAATATATCAGTGTCATCCCTACTTTTACACAATAAATTACAATCCTACCGGAGGGTTTCCACAACGGCCTCAGCCTGAGTTCAATTATTTGCTGAAATGAGAGACCGTTTAATCCACAATGATGTTGTTGTTCATTGTAATTCAATAACACAGACATAGAGTAATCTTACCCGTTTTGCCCTATAGATATGTTGATACTCAGAAATACAAAAAGTGGATTGGTGCTCAGTATAAAAAGTTAGAGAACTACCAGACTATCACCCCTGAGCAATAGACAAGCTGGAAAAATATTGCATTTGAGCCTAACACTGTAGATGAACCATCTCGATAAAGCGAAAGAAAAAGAAAGCTTGTTTTCTCCCTGTGCGTTGAAAGAAATATCAGAAGAGCACGGGCACCAGTCAAAGAGAGTGCAATAATATGAGCTGTGTTATTTTTTTCAAAGAGGGACATTTTATACAGTTAGGCTACAGTTGCAATGCTCTTGAAATATGGTCTGAGTTTACATGAGATTTATATTAGTACAGAGTTGATTTTGTTTTTTTAAAGCCTTGACATATGCAACATAGAGTCCAGACCATAACACAAAAATAAACAATGAAAGAAATACAGAAATATCTAGAACAATGTTGTGCTTATGAGGAAAAGATTGTGCATCAGAATAAAACCAAAACTATAGTACTATGTTTTTGTTGATTGAAGAATTAATTTTATATTCATAATAAATCATGTTGGACTACAATCTATATTAATCCATTTCTGTTAACATTTGAAAACTCTATTCTCAAAACAATTATTATCCGTATATTCCCCATAATAAACCAGTAAGGAGCGCGCGGAGGCAGAGCAGGCGAAAGTGGGCGGAGCAGGCAGCGCTCCTGTCCAATCGGAGCGTGCGTCCACAGCCTCGTGCGTGTGTGCGCTCCCGCCCCGCCCTCCCCGCTCAGAAAACAGTGAAACCCTCCCACAGAGGTGAGAGCGCAGATGTCAAGAGAAGCGCGAGCACAGCACACACGCAGCTCAGCGACCCCAGCCCGCCGCCTCCCCACGCTCCGCTCTGGGATGCTTTTAGCGCACACACACGTCTCCTCTCAAGGCAGCCGGTGGACGCGCAACGACGCCAGCACTTTTCCGTCTAATATAGGCTGTATATTTTTTTATTTCAAGGATCGTTCTCCCACCTTTTCTGACAGCAACAATAACCCCCTCCCCCTTTAAGTGTTTATGTTTATTTCTTCATGACTGCTGTTTTGGGAAGCGACTCTCAGCCCCAGCCACGCCAACAACATGCGAGGTGAGTACATTCACAGCGCGCACGCACCACGCTTAAAAGCCTGGCATTACATCCCATGCGTCCCTCCAAACTTTGACCAGGACGATTCACTTTCCCCAACTCCTGTCTTCCACGTGCAAGTCTCTCAGGCACAGTAAAGTTCAAACAGTTCTGTGAGTTGGCTGCTTTTAGTCAAATCGATTTGATTTGGTGAAATGGGCCTAATGTAAATTATTTGAGTCAGTCGCTGCATTAAACACAGGCCACCTACGGCATTACATTTCACTTTAATTATTAAGTCAGCACCAGTGGAAATTGCACATCAGATTACGCACTTGCCCTATGTTCATTTCCTGCCGCTTCTTTGTAGAACTTTATCGAATTCTTCAAGAGTACTTTTCACCCGCTCCATTAACCCATTTTCTCCAACACTGCGTGCTTCGGGACGCTCAAATCCAACGTCAATGTCGTTAGGAGCGCGCACATCCTCAAACGCGGGCCTGCTCGTTCCGAAACACGCACAAGCAGCGCGCGTCTCTGTCTGCTGCGTGGGAATATAAGTGGAGCAGGCCACGTGGGTGATGCCGACTTATGGGGATGGCTTTATTTACTGTTGTAAATGTAGCAATTAAACGTGATGTCAAGTTGCAACACTCCTCCCATACGGACTACGTTTTTGAAGTTTAATTAATACCCAAATGTTCTTCCTCTAGTATTGACCTTTGAACAATTTAGGAATGTGAAAATAACTTGTTTGGAAGAACAAGGAGCCGAGAATGTATATAATGTATTAATAATGTTAGTGAAAGAAATATAGCCTCTTCTTAGAAGTTGTCATTATCTTAAAGCTTGTCATTATCTTAAACCTTTGTAAGTTACTTACTTACTTACAAAGGCTAACTTTTTGTATGTATCAATTTACATTATTATATCATTCCCAATGGAATATTTACATCTATGGATTTTTTGAATAAAGTAATCTCTGTTTAAAGAGTTACAAAGTTTGTCTATTTACATAATAAACATAAGTTTTACTATTATCATTATTATAGAACCTGTATTTTCCTTTATAAACAATAATGTGTTTGTTCTTGTTGCTTTTAGGCTCTATCATTATTCAAGTCAGAGGCCATAAGATATTCATTCTAAGTTTACATTCCATACTTCCACATACACATGTCCATGTCTTCCTTGTCTGTGGATTAGAGGCCAGTAGAAGCATGGAGGCCTCTCTTTCTGCAGTCTGTCTGCTACTGAGGCCCACTGCTCTGTGCACCTTGTATCTCTCCACTTTCGGATGGGCCGTGCGTCTGCTCTCGTGCAGGCATGTTTGGTCCAGGGGGTCTCTGGGGTGGGGGGCAATCCAAAAGCAGCAGAAGCAGCTCTCACTCTAAAGCGCTGGACGTCCGATGAGGCCCCTGAAGCGTCTCTCTGCTGCATGTGTGTGTCTATGCTCCTCTCCCCATCTTTCTCTCTCTCTCTCTCTGCCTGCCTCTGCACGCCCCAAAGGGTTTTGTCAGATAGAATTAAATCAGAGTGGGCTACGCGCCGGCCCCCACTCCCGACCTGTGTATAAAGATGTGTGTGTGTGCAGGGAAATGCGCTCACTGCCACAAGGTTATAAAAAATACAGGCCTCTCATAAGCTGTGGTAATTATCATTTAACAATAGCCACTGCTCCTGAAGCTAGTTGACTGAAAATGATGTCACCCCATCGACCGGACGGGACAAAAACAGGCAAATGTAATATCACCAGGCCTTTTCTACATGTCGCAAAATGGAGCTAGTGTTTTGCAGTGTGTCACTGATGTGTAGGTTGTAAACAGGATTAATTTTCTAATTTCAATGGCAGCATGATGATGATGAGGAGCAAACAGGTTTTTTTGAAGCGAGAGGAAGAGCACTGGCAGAGTAAAATAGATTTGACAGTATGTGGAGATGTGAGTCACCAAAGAGGAGTCACTAAGTTTGAGAGTACAAATACATTCAGAAGGGTTTTAGTTTTTACTTTATCTTTGCCCAGCTCTTGCATAGCTCCTGGGGCTTTATGATATAAGTGCATACGAATATATATATTTAGCTGTGCATGTAATTATAGTTCATTGTATCAGACTACTTTAGTTTAAATATCTAGTTCTAATTCTGTGAAAAATATATACCTACAATACCCATATATGCAGATACATTGCACTACATTTAATACAGTCTGAATATGCCTCTGAAAAACTAAAGATTGCATTCAAACATACATTCAAGCAGACTAGTGCCAGAACATGCTTTAAAGACTGCAAATAATTATATTCAAGCAGACATGAAACTATGCCGAAATATCATCCTAAAGTATCGGAGTAGGTGGTTGAATGCATGCAGTCCAGTGTACGCCGTATATTTCGTACGGTCAATAGTTTCCTTGTTTCTCCTGGCTGTGATCCTTGAGTATAATCAAGCCCGCTACCCCTGTTAAGCCCCCTTTCTGAACCTTCACGCCACCCATACATGAAGAAGGCAGACAGGTCACAGAGTTCAGCCGTATACAGGGAGTTTAGGTGGAGGAGGGCAGACTTCATGATACGTGTCAATCAGCATCTACCGTACTTTACCGCCACTTTGTCCTGGGAACAAGAGTGGGATGCAAGGAAGAAAAGTTTGTAGTAATCAAGGACTGCTGATAGTGACTTATTAACAATGAATTCAATATGTTTTTGTAGCTATGCGTTATTAGTCAATTCAAATACTACACTGGTTTATCATAGAGGATAACCCCTGAGTTAGATTATGTTTTCAAATGTAAAAGTTCCTCGACTCCTCTTTCTCAAATGTGGCTTTAATTCACATGACAGCAATCTTTCAAAATGTCTCGATAAATACATTCACTGTGAGTCAATTAGAGCACGCTTGACGGCCTCTTGCTAATAGAATTATATAGAATTATTCCCTTCCTGGTTTACTCTGGCCGTTATTGATTCGCCCAATCCCGCTGCATCCCAGATCAATGCTCATCCAAAACTAACGGAAGTCTACTGTTTAGAAGAAATCCATGCATCCGACATCAGTGGCATGATTTCCAATTGTCAACCCAAGCCAGACATTGTTCACTCAATATCCAGGTGTTGTTTATGCAAGGTACATTATTATACAATTATGTGACGAAAAAAGGGAACGTGGACGAGTTACAAAATGACTGTAACAATAGAAGCTGGGCTAAAGAGACAGCAGGACGTAGCATTTTTCCACAACATGCTCTTCATTATGGCATCCAACATAGTGTTATAATGGGACACCTGCAAGTGCGATGTGGAGCAGAGATTGTGCGTACCATGTTGTTGTTGATTGCGTTGTTTATTGTGTTGCCTATTGTGTGTTTGTGCTGACTAATGGCCAGTGTTATGTAAGAAGAGTGGAGAGAGATTACCCCGAGCTCCATGCAGGCCACACTGCTAATCCGTCAAACTCAAGCCCTAGTGAACTGACTGAAACCACTGTTCTACTGTAGCAGCATTGCAAAACGCTGCTGGACCACTGTAACACAAATGTGGCAAATCAAGTATTCCATCGCACTAGCAGCAACAGCTTAAAAACATTTTGATATTATTTTTACTTCCATAAATCCATTCATTTCAGAGTCCATTCATTTCAGGGTTGTCACACAGTCCTTCAAGCAAGCATCAACACTAAAGAAAATACACAAAAACAGGACATAATTGGATTTTCTGAGTGGTTTTAGAAAGATTATGATCAATATTAGAACTAGTGGCCTTGAGGGGAGTAACATGAATTGTACTATCATTGTGTGTTGAAAAAAGTCCAAAAAAGTGCATTTCGAAATAATCACAGTGACATCGAAATGAGTATGCAGTATCAGTACTAATTAACACGTATAACCACGGCAACAGGAGGTATTGTATGTGTCTGTCTCTCTGTGTGTGTCTTGTTTGTCTGTAGGCAGGATTGCACAGAAACTACTAGACGGATTGATCTGAAATTTGATGTGTCGATGGGATGCGATGGTAGAAAGATGACCTTTGGTGTTGGTGGGGTATTCGCTTTCCAATTGCAGTTAGTATGAAAATGTAAACTTCTTTTCAAAATTCCTTAAAAGAATATTAGGTCATGTAAAAGTTGCATAGAGTTGAAGAAAAAACTATTTCCAACTATAGGCTATCAAGCAAGGCTATCAAAAGCTTAAAATCAAGCTTATGTTCAAGTTATTGCCATGGATTTCTCAAAATGAATAAAACATTCAAATATCGTGGGTAAATTCAACAAAAAATTTTAAGTTTTGAGGATCTATTATTCGTTTTCTAATTACAGCATGCTTTCCCTATTTTCATTCATGCCCACTGTGCCCCTGTCTCAATAGTGTCCAACCTTTAGCCACGCGGCCGGCACTAAAACTTCCCAGCATGCCGTGTGTGTGTGGCCTGGATTGTCCCACTGCGCTGCTATCATAGTCTGTTTGTTTAACTTGAGCTCCATGTTGGTTTTGTCCCTTTATGCGCCGCTTGTCTGGGGAAAACTGTTTCTGTCCCTTTTCTTTCCCCCAAGTTGAATCCTCTGCCTCTCCTAATCTTTACACATACAAAGCGTGGGCTATACTTTTGGTTTACGTCTCTCCACTTTAAAATCTTAGCTGCGAGGGATTCCGACTCGAACCACTCGGAAAGTCTAAATCTGCCTCCCAGTCACATAGTCGTCTTCTTCGTTGTGTGTTTTGTCACTTTAAGTCATCCATAAAGGCAGCGTGTCTCTGCGGAGGTACAATGATATTCAATACTGGCATTCTCGGATTCTTCTGATTTATATTGAAGAGAATAAGCCGAGGATCGAGGCGAGAGCTTGTTAAATGTAGAAATCGAATATTATTTAAAGATGAAGCCATCACTAGAGAGACTGTTCCAAGTAGTTCCGACATAAAATAAAGATAAAAAAATATGTATTTAACAGATATGTGCCTCGAATTCTATGTTTGCTTAGCATTCAGACAAACTCACGACTATTTTACTTGTGTTGGCAAAACTTTG